ATCCCGTTAGTCACCTCTTACGACAAGCATGGGTTACTGAAGATCAATTCTAACCCGGATCTTCACGGGTCCGATTATAAACTCTGTCAAAAAAGAAACGCAACCCCTGTCCTCAGATATGAAAAATTCGTTTGAATGAAGTTATTGCTTCCAAACTAAATGTTATTCGAATGTATTGAAATTATACACGTAATTAATGAAGATTACCATCCAAACAACTGCATTTGTACGCATAAGTGTATTTTATTGCTTATTCCGTCACAACGCATGAAATGACCCTCATGGTGACTTCGCACAAAAAAAAACACATGCAAATCATGAAAATGGCAGTTAATGTAGGGGTGTATAAAAGCCCATGTGCTTTCGTATTATATTCATTCATTTGTCGCATGAAAAGCTGTGTGAAAAATGCCACGATTGAGTGCTGCCGACCGAAATATCGCCATTGGTCGTGTTCAAGCCGGAGAAAGTTTTGGAACTGTTGCACGGCACCTAAATGTTCACAAAACAACGATATCCCGACTTTGGAGCCGCTACAACAACTTCAATTTGACCAACGATCGCCCGAGAAGTGGAAGGCCAGAATCACGACCCCCCTTCAAGATCGGTACATCCGGGTCCATCACCTGCGTAATCGGCATGCCCTACCAACCGTGACTGCCACACAAATACCAGGTTTGAGGAGAGTGTCAGCTCAAACGATTAGGAACCGTCTGAAAGAAGCGGGTTTACGTGCCTGTAGACCAGTTGTTGGACCTGTACTACGCCCCCTACATCTCCGCCGACGACTCAGGTGGTGCAACAACGTAAGGATATGGACTTTACAAAACTGGAGGCGCATCTGGTTTTCTGATGAATCCCGTTTTCTTTTGCAACATCACGACGGAAGAAAACGTGTATAGGAGACGTCATGAACGTTTTGCGCCCATCTGCGTCCGACAGGGGGACAGATTTGGCGGAGAAAGCGTTATGGTTTGGGGATCCATCTCATACAACCAGAAATCAGACTTGGTGATCGTTGAAGGGAACCTGACAGCCCAACGTTACATCAACCACGTATTACAGCCTCACCTTCTCCCGATTATTGACCAACAGACACAGATTTTTTCAACCAGACAACGCCCGGCCTCATACTGCACGTGCAACAATGAACTTTCTGCAGAATTCCAACGTCAATGTCTTGCCATAGCCCTCTAAATCACCAGACCTCAACCCTATTGAACACCTGTGGGATACTCTGGGTCGACGCGTACGTCAACGTCAGCCGCCGCCACAGACGCTGCAACAGCTCGGCGTTGCACTGCAGGAGTGGAGAGCCATTCCCTAGGAAAGAATCCGGCGTCTTATCCGTTCTTGTCCAAGGAGATGCCGTGCAGTGATTGCAGCTCGTGGTGCTCATACGAGATACTGAGAAAGACGCCCCCCTGGTGACAAACTGGTGTCTGTGAGATGACTTTTGAAATGACAATTTTAAACATGCCCATCTTGGTTATTATTCTGCCAAATTTCAGACTTCTGTCTTAAATAATAAAAATGCTGTGTCGTCTTAAAACTTCAGATCAAAATCTCTAAAATACAGGGGTTGCGTTTCTTTTTTGACAGAGTTTAAATATATACCCCGGCAGTGCAAGTATTTTCGGATTATCTGCATGGGCGATAAGGTGATTGATTTGGATCTTATTTCTGTGATCAACAGCATGACATTTGATCACGTCATGCCTTAACGTCATGTTCGCTGCAAATAGCTGCAAACTTGCTGATGCTGCATTAAGCAATATCCACTTACTCATAAGGTCATGTCAGTTTACCTATGACATAAATATAACATATGTTATATTTGGGATTACAGTTTGTTAGTAAAGTACAGATTCTAGTACTTTTTTTTTTTGGGTGTGTAGTACCAAATATAACATATGTTACATTTGACCACTTTCTAAAATGGCATTGTGTATTTCATGACATAAATATAATTTTGATTTATTTGATGTCGTAAGTTAAACCCCATTTTGCCATTTATGTGTATGAACAATTATTTATTTATACTGCAAATACTTGCAACAAATTAAGTTGCGTTTACATTCTGAAAACAGCAACGGCCCTTCAGTTTTTCAGAAAAATTAATTGCATACAGTACAACAGTTACTGCTCCCTTGTTGTCATCCACGTTTGACACCTGTTTATTCGGCATCCCACATTTGATGCTGTGTTTATTACATGGATAACTAGTGATAATAAACACCACTCAGATTATCCGACAAAGGTTCCCATGTGGCATTTCTCGTGTTTGAGGTTACTCAACCTTACAGATTCGGCTCTGATGTGATGTATTACATGTTATGCAATATACACGTGGAAGCACAGCAAGAGATGAATTATCAGTTGAGTAAAATTGATCAAAGGAATAACAGATATTACGTCGATTGTTTAATCTTGCTATGTGGACTTGTCAAAGGTGAGTAAATAAATTATGCTTGATATCCGAAATAATACGTGACCTTTTAAAGCTGTTTAAATACTATATTCGAAATAATATATTCACTGGGAAAAGTAACTGTGCGTAACATTAAACTACTTAAAATACAAGTTATTTGAAACGTTATGGAAATAACCTTAAATAAACATATAGCAAAGCACTTTGCATGAAACACGTATCGCGCGTAGCACGTGAATTTTGTGCACAATGAACTTGCTCACTTTTGGCAGGGGAGACTATATAACGTGTTGTAGATTATCCCTGCTTTTTGCAAGTCTTTTGACACCTGAAGCTCACACACCTGATATTGAATATTGAAGAACGGTTGATTAATGTTGTGGAAAACACGTTAATTTCAACCGAAACTGCGCCGTTGGTATGTTGGAGTCTGGAATGGTCCGAAATGAAGTGACCAGACATTTTGGTGTCCATCAAAATACGATCTCATCTCTAACATAATTGGAACACCAGAGATTCGTCCACGCGTGTTGTGTCAGATTGTGTCATTGACGTTATGTGTATCGGGACAAGCGTTGGTTCAGACATGGAACATCATTCACCAAGCTTTCTTCAACAGCTTAGTTTCGTCTTTGTGTCGTCGTTGTCAAGCCTGCATCAACGCCAATGATGGACTCTCGCCACACTCAATTTGTGTACTAACTTTTTTGACACCATACCTTTTCAAAGGCGTGTCACGATGCCCAGTGTCAAATCATACAAATTTCGATATTATCCTGTCAACAGTTAAACGGTGATTAAGGAAAACACCTTAATGTTATTATCTTCTTGCACATGTATATGTAACTTTTGTGTTTCCCTGCCCAAGGAAATGTTCATATTACAAACTGTTGTAAAATTGAAACCAGGGCTCGATTTAAGAGATGTTAACCCACTTGCGCCAGGTGCAACCTAAGATAAAAACCTAGTTGCACCAGACAAATTCCAGTTGCACTGTTTTTATTGCAATATGTAATATCAGAAATATGCTATTGAATTATGTAGATGTTTTATTCAGAAGTTAACCCACTCAAAAATTGACTTGCACCTGTTGCAAGTTAGACTCATAACTAGGTTGCACTTTGTAATATTGAGTTGCACCAGTGCAAGTAAACAAAGCACTGAATCGAGCCCTGGAAACTAATCAGGTAATTACTGGATTTACACATGAAACAGGTTGTGATTGAGTATTTACTGGGTGTCAACTTCACTTTGGTTTCCTGACCCGTGAAGATCCGGGGTAGAATAGGCCTTCAGCAACCCATGCTTGCCACAAAAGGCGACTATGCTTGTCGTAAGAGGCGACTAACGGGATCGGGTGGTCAGGCTCGCTGACTTGGTTGACACATGTCATCGGTTCCAAATTGCGCAGATCGATGCTCATGCTGTTGATCACTTGTTTGTCTGGTCCAGACTCGATTATTTACAGACCGACGCCATATAGCTGGACTATTGCTGAGTGCGGCGTAAAACTAAACTCACTCACTCACTCACTTTGGATTTCTGCAAAACTGAGCCCCGTCCCATAAAGCTATATTAACTCTACGACAGCTGTACGGGTATGCTAGTTACTAGTCGGCCTTACAATGTGTGAAGTCCATTTTCTGGTCTCTCTCCCCCTTCGTGATATTGCTGGACGTTGCTAAAATCGGCGTAAAACCATAATATCACTGAGCTCTTCGTGTCTATCAAAATTATATATATTGAGAGACTTAGTGTTAGTCTAGGGAGTTACGCGTTGCGATCACCTTAGTGCCACGATCACTTCAAGGGAAAGGTGCAAATCTTAACATTCAGGACAACAGCGCTTGTTTTTCTTTTTGTTTGTTTGTTTAACAACAAGCATTAACAAGCATTAGCAATATTCCAGCAATATGACGGCAGTATATGAATAGTCGTGCATAGATCAGACATTCCAATAATTGACGTCATGAGCATCGACGTACGCCATTGTGATGCGATGGCATGTGTCAAAACAGGTCAGCAAGCCTGACCACCCGATCCCGTTAGCCGCCTCTTGACAACCATGGGTTTCCAAGGACCAATTATAACCTGGATCTTCACGCTTGAGCAAACCTCCATAAATGATTACATGTTTTACGAGTGCAACTTCAATAAATAGCCGAGAGCAACTCTGTATCGGGAAGCGTGCGCAAATCCGGTTATTGCATAAATTTCTATTTGTATTTGCTCTTGTTCGCAAGGTGTTCAATCCGGGATTTGGCCCTGTGTGAACCTCCCAACCCTTGAAAGTAGTGGGGTCTTCTCATCTCGACGCCCTGCCGACTCAAGTGAAAAGTTTACCATTGACTCGGAACGGATTTCCCCCAAAACGAAGTACAGACTTTAAGAATGATTTCCACATGATTTCCACAGCGACATTACTCCCTATGACGATCAATAGTTCCGTTTCTTTACGTGTGTTATGCGCGAGAGTATTACGGTCAGACAAAACAATTACATGTGCACGGGTCGCACGGACCCTGCACGGACATACACCTAATCACGTGGGACGCATTGTTTGGTACGGCACGCTCGTAGCCTCAATATCACGTTCAAGGTCGGAGGCTGTCGTCTGCTCAGTGTGTTAGTTTGCTGCCGGCGATCGGACTCGCGTTTGGAATTACTAGGAGTTTATTTCGTTCTGTAGGTAAGATCAACACACTATTTGAAACATTTTAACTTTACCCGTCACAGATCTATTGGAAGAATGTATTTCCAGCTTTTTTTCCAAATGGAGCAAAATGACTTGCTAAAGTCAGTCGCGACACATTAAAGGAAATATCGAAGCATTTGTACAAAGTGTTTATCCGATGACAGTCTGCTACAAGCTATTTATTTATGTTAAAAAATCATTTCTCCATTGTATTACATGATTGGGGACGTGTCTCTTTTGCTCTATGAATATGGTGTTCCTATGATACACAACGTTTGACAGGGATCAACAAATATGTCATATTTAGCATAAATATTAAATACTATGAGAATATGTTTTCTCAAAGATAAAATAATATCCTTATCAAAGGTGGATTAATATACATACGCATCCTCGTAAAATCTTCGTCAGGATCAGATTAAAGTGTGAAATATATGTATAATGAAACATTTCATAGATTATATGCTATTCTAAAATATTACACAGTTAGTTAATAACTTTTTCACGTATCTCTGGAAGGATTGAATAAAATTCATATTGCCCTACTCGACGAGACGTAGAAAAATACATAGGTGCACATGATATCAGTGGTTTGCTGGGTACTCGAGGCATACGTATCATTACGACAATAATGGGAATCAAATGTTAGCGTCCTTTCCAACCTGGCGACACCAGAGGGGAAAAGGTCAATGTTTCAGGTCACGCAGAGGTCAATGTTGGAGGTCAGGTAAGGTTCACTGAGGTATACAGTCATACTGTTCTCCTCGACTGGCTATTGCGTATATACTACATGCTATTATGTAACGCGAGGTTTATGCATTTTATTCACAGCATCGCGTGTAAAATAAACCTTATATATTCAAATAAATACATTGGTGCATATTGTAATGTGTTTTGTACGCGTATGATTTGTGAACGAGCAGATGTATTATCTCCCATGAAAATCGCGTAATCTAATACCCGTCATCATAAATAATCCCCTGCATAGGTCTGGATAGCCTTGCTCCAAGGCTGTACTGAATGATGAGCCCATGGATGTTTAGTAATTCTTTCGAATTCGTCCTGGGCCTAGATTTTCGAAGCTCTCTTAGCGCTAAGATTGTCGTAAGTTAATGTTAATGTATGGCACTTACGACTATCTTAGCGCTAAGAGAGCTTCGAAAATCTAGGCCCTTGAGGGTCAACCGGCGAGGCGCATTGAAGAGCGATTGACAGCAGTACGAGTACCGAGTCCTATGGAGTACTTCAACTTTGTAGTCTGTCTCACAGTCCCTGAACCACATTATTTTCCCTACCGCCAAGCCCTCTCTGCGGTGCTAAAACAACCCTAAATAAAGCAGGTCTAGATTTCCTCAGGTTCTGAATCTCTGGTTTCCCTGGTGCTCCTTTTCAATTTAAATGGGCTTATTTGTTACTATCAAAATTATATATATTCAGAGACTAAGCATTAGTCTAGTCCACTTTGGTGCACATATCCATGAGGGCACGGGTGGCCCATTGGAAACCCCTGACTGGATTCGAATCCCAGTTAGCCTCGATTATGTTTTTACTCACCCAAAACCATACCCGTGATCGTGTGTTAAGTGTTAAACATGTGACACCTTCATCACTTAGACCTTTACTCCCTCATTCAGCTAACACTACGTGATATGACAGGGATAGTGTACTCAGCGGCGTTAAACCCAAGTCACTCACTAACTGAATCTATGAACGTTTTGTACGTCAATCTGTGGATATTTCCGACTCTTCGTAAGGGACCAATTTGTGCGGTAGAAGCTTCTTGTTCTGCCTCTGAGAGTCTTGCATTCATGGTTGTCTACTTCGCGACCTTATCTTGGGTTTTGCGGGATTTCTCGACTCTGAGCCAAAAGACGTTGTTGCACATAGGTCTTTATAAAAAACACGTCAATGGCCAAAAACCAATATGTGCTGAATTTCATGTTTTTGTTGGTATTGTTTTGTGGCAGTACATTGAAACATGTTATGCTGCATTGTTTTTGGTGAGCGTCCTTGTCAAGGTCGTTCAAGGACAAATCCAAGAGGAGTGTACACCGATTTCGTTATCTGTCATCTGAATTGTTTTATAAGTGCTGGTTACACCAGTTGGCTGGGATGTTAAATGGTGAGTTAAACCCCGAGGCACCAACATCAGATCCGAGTGGTACAACCTGTAAACCAAGGCAAATGTTCAAAGAGCCTATCACCGAAAATTTTACCCACCAATGTTTTGATAACCGTATTTGAAAAGATATGCAAGCACTCACAGCTGAACTCTAAGAACAGCGCATGAGTCGCCCCCGCGTGATGCACGGGAAATATTTTCCTGAGACTTTCGCACGTGCACATCGCACTTCGTTGACTCGGGTTATGAAATGCATGTCTCGGGACAAATATAAACTTACTGCGGGCCAACTCGAGCACATTTATCAATCGCCTGAATGGTACTGAACCAGGTTGCTGGGCTGAGTCGATGTGTCAGTACATTTGTCATTGTTGACCCCACGTGAATCTAGCATTCGGTACGGACTTGGAGAGTTCTATTCCTGCCGTTCCGTTATGATTTGTTCCTTGTTCAACGCCGTACTAAGCAATGTTGTAGCTACAAGACGGCAGTCTGTATATATTCAAATCTGGGCCAGACAATAGGGCCCGTAACTAGGTCACGCGAAACCTTAGTACTTCCGGTGACAAACAACGTTTCATACCTTTTCGAATGGTCTCATGGTTGTCAGTTGGCAGTAAGGAACCGATAATCCTTGCACGAATAACACATTTCCGATCTAACCCTCCCCAAATTAACTAACTATTACGACTGTCAACAGCTGTGAAAGTTAATCATGGTTGTACACTTGGTCCGGTCTAGTAAAGTCATATTTGGCGGTCGCGCAATTTGGAACCAGATTTGGTTCTTGAATATACGCTGGTCACCGGAAATTTTGTACCGGAAGTAAGCTGGGCGCCGTCTCGCATATCTCATCTCGGCGTTAAAGGGATCCTCGGGAGACATACAGCCCTACCCAGTGATTGATATCATGCACATCAATCTGCGCAAGTGGGTTACGATGACATGCATCATCCAGGTCAGAGAGCCTTACCACCCATCCCGTTTAAGTCCATTGGCGGATCCAGAGGGGTTTCGATTCCCCCTTTGAAAATGACTTAAGACCACATTAAAGATTCATTGGGGGGGGTGTGTTTCAGGGGTCCGAACACCCCACACACCCTCAAAATTCCTGGATCCGCCCATGAAGTCGCTTCTTGCTCAGTTATTAAGGTAAATAGAAGGTTTGTAAAAGGTTTCTTATTTGCCAAATATTTATGTGATGGGAAACATGCATATATGTGGCCTAACGATTAATTAAATGAAATGTATGGTCAAACACGCATGGTGTTGTGGCTGAAAAATAATAACTATGGTATGTACAGAATGTTCTGAGTCATTGATCCTTTGACGGAATGTCTTAAAACCTCAGGACATTGATGATTAAACATTTGAACTGGTCCCTAATCAGACTGTGACTGTGGTCGTACCCTTACCATGCTAACTGCATATCGTTGTACACTACATTTTTTTTGTATACACACTGCTTGCTAGAATTGGTTTTCAGTAACCCATGCTTGTCGCAAGTGGCGACTAACGGGAATAGGAGGTAATAAGGTTCGCTGACTTGGTTGACACATTTCATCGTATCCCAACTGCGCAGATCGATGCTCAAGCTGTCCATCACTGGATTGTCTGGTTCAGTCTCGATTATTCACAGACCGCCGCCATACAGCTGGAATGTTGTCATAGTGCGGCGTTAAACAACAACCCAACCCCAACCCAATCTTGCTGCGCCCTAACCACTGTTAACTTCATGTCAACCTGTACTCACTGCTGACTACGTGTTTTCACATTGCTGCATGTCGTCGTACCCTAACCACTGCATGTCGTCGTACCCTAATCACTGCATGGTGTCGTACCCTAAGCGCTGCATGTCGTCGTACCCTAATCACTGCTAACTACATGTCATCGTACACTACTGGGTATCGTACCCTAATCACTGCGTGTCGTCGTACCCTAAGCGCTGCATGTCGTCGTACGCTAATGACTGCACCCTAACTACTGGGTGTCGTCGTAACCTAACCACTGGGTGCCGTCGTAACCTAACCACTGGGTGTTGTCGTACCCTAACCACTGCGTGTCGTCGTACCCTAACCACTGCGTGTCGTCGTACCCTAACCACTGCGTGTCGTCGTACCCTAATCACTGCTAACTACATGTCATCGTACCCTAATCACTGCGTGTCGTCGTACTCTAATGACTGCACCCTAACTACTGGATTTCGTCGTACCCTAACCACTGGGTGTCGTCATACCCTAACCACTGTGTCGTCGTGTTGTCGTACCCTAACCACTGCGTGTCGTCGTACTGCGTGTCGTCGTACCCTAATCACTGCTAACTACATGTCATCGTACCCTAATCACTGCGTGTCGTCGTACCTTAAGTGCTGCATGTCGTCGTACTCTAATGACTGCCCCCTAACTACTGGGTGTCAACGTACCCTAACCACTGGGTGTCGTCGTACCCTAACCACTGGGTGTTGTCGTACCCTAACCACTGCGTGTCGTCGTACCCTAATCACTGCTAACTACATGTCATCGTACCCTAATCACTGCGTGTCGTCGTACCTTAAGTGCTGCATGTCGTCGTACTCTAATGACTGCCCCCTAACTACTGGATTTCGTCGTACCCTAACCACTGGGTGTCGTCGTACCCTAACCACTGGGTGTCGTCGTACCCTAACCACTGCGTGTCGTCGTACCCTAGTCACATACATTCCTCGTACTGTTTATTTTCTGCAGTCACCAGGTTTGAAAAAGTAACAAATGGCAGCGAAGGTACCACCACCGATTCTGGCATTCTTGTGAGAACAGAAATACTAACTGGCTGTCAGCAGTTTCGGTATACGATACTAGCGCTCTGGTGTCTCGTTTCAGGAATGACATCTACCGAATATATATCTGTTACACAGCTGGTTCATTCCACTGTGTGTATCACACAACCCTCCGAAGAACAAATCTCCGTATGACACCACAATTATTTGACTTCACAAATCTCTCGATCAGCCACTGAAGCGAGGTCGGTGGTTATTACTAGAGTATTGGGATGGTGGCGGTTGCATGGGTGGTCCGGTTATGGCCCGTGAAAGCGAAATCTGGACCAAACCTCCTCAATTTAGGTGTCGCTTTCGCGGGAACGGTCAAGCTACAGTAAACACTGAATTTAGCGTTCCCGGGACTCTCAATACACAAGAAAAACAAAGAAATGTGAGTCGTCGTCTGATACCGTAGAAATTAAATAGATAAATAAATAAATACGTTTAACATTGTTATTTAAAAACAGAAAATGTCATATCACTATTGTCAAAAGCACGCAATTCGTTATTATTCCCCGCAACGCGTTTTGCGGGGGGTATTAAAATGGACTCTGTGTGTCCGTGCACATTTGTCTTTTCCGGAGCAGAACTTTAAAACCGTTCAATATTTCTTCACCAAACTTGGCACATACATTGGTCTGGTGGTGTACTATAGCTCTTTTGGTAGTTTTGGATTTCTGAAATATATATGTTTGGCGTTTCCATGGCAACAAGTTTGACTTAGACTGAAATTGGTGGTAGTGCTCTTTTCCGGAGCAGAACTCTAAAACCGTTCACTATTTCTTCACCGAACTTGGCGCACAGATTGGTCTAGTGGAGTACTGGTGCCTTTTAGTAGTTTTGGTATTCTGAATTAAATATTTTTTGCCGTTTTCATGCTAACAAGTTTGACTTAGACTGAAATTGGTGGTGGTGCTCTTTTCCGGAGCTGAACTCTAAAACCGTTCCTTATTTCTTCACCAAACTTGGCACATAGATAGATCTGGTGGTGTACTGGTGCCTTTTGGTAGTTTTGGAATTCTGAATAAAATGGTTTTGGCATTTCCAGGGCAACAAGTTTGACTAAGACTCAAACTGGTGGTAGTGCTCCTTTCTGGAGCAGAACTTTTAAAACCCATTCAATACTTTCCTTCCACTTTTCTATATACACACCAAAACATTTGACATAATCATAACTCGTAGACATATTCATGAAGAGTATTTTGCCATTCCGGGGGATATTGATGACTTTGTCTTCTTGTTCACATTACATAGTTACAATTTATGAGTGAGATCAACTTCCCTCAGGTAGTTCACCATGAGATGCCCGCTTACGCGGGAAAACATATCGGTGGTACATGAGTATAACAAAGGAGTACATACAAAATGTACAACAAGATGACTTAAATGATACATCAATTGAAGTGTTTACAAACAATCTTAATGAACTTGGATACATTTTAAGAGTAAATATTTTCCTTGTAAAAAGTTGACGGAACTTTGACAAATTCGGCCAGGAACATTAAGGTTCTTTTAACAAATAGGGAATATTGAAATTTCGCTTTCCCGGGCCGACACCGGTGGTCCACTGTAATAAACAGTGAGTGAGTTTAGTTTTACGCCGCTTTTAGCAATATTCCAGCAATATCACGACTGGGAAGACCAGAAATGGGCTTCACACAATTTACCCATGTAGGACTCGAACCCGGGTCTTCGGCGTGACCAGCGAACGCTTTAACCACTAGGCTCCCTCACCGCCCTGTAATATACTGTGCGTCGCGTCACAAGGTAACACTATAATGGGCTAATTCGAGTCCGGGATCGACCCGATTATGTCTCTAGGCTGTCCACACTAACGGTGCTCGCGGGTTTGACCAGTGGTAAACGTCTCAGGCGTGTATCGCTACATGACGTTCTCCAACAGAAAGATTACATGCCAGGATATAACTGGAGTTTTGTTAAAGAATATAAATATGTGTTACACTTCTGGCACTCTTAAAATAACACGAGGCGTAATGGCGTACAAAGAATGGGCGTTTTTATTCCCGCAGTGCAACTTTGTGAGGCAGGCGAACAGTTCACACACAGTTTACAGAGTCCGACAGATATTACCAGAATAAGACGGTGAAGTCAGGCTGACACTTGGGCAGTGTTCGTCCTATATTGTTCCTGGCTTTCCTTTCTGCTGGTCTATAAACGCTCTTTTTGGTGTCTGCTGGCTTCACCTATCCTCTAATACGTTATATTTGGGATTACACTTTCTCAGTAGACTACAGATTCTAGTACTTTTGTTGGGTAGAGTCTCCTCCGGGAATCGAACCAACGCTCTCAGAGTTGCACACAAAGTGCCCCATCGTGCAGGCCTGCCTTTAAAGTCTGTTCAGGTTGGCAATTCACATGACTGTCCACTTAGCTGGTCATATTTCGAAGAGCTTGACTATCTCTGCCAACTGTACACGATAACGAGTGTTACAATGTTGAAGTACATGTATTCAGTATTCCATTGTATGGAAACGGACCGCCTCCGTGGTGTAGTGGTTAGATCGTCCGCCTGGAGAGCGGAAGGTCGCGGGTTCGATCCCCGACCGCGTCATACCAAAAGAGGTTAAAATATGGTACTTGTTGGTCCCTGCCTGGTGCTCGGCATTAATGGGTACAACAAGGACTGGTCGGCTCGGAGTCAGTATAATGTGTCTGAGTGGGGTATTCATGCTTCACTGCCGCACGGTATCTCAGTGGGTTAGCACTATAAAACCAGCTTAAGTCTGGGCTAGTACAAGCAGCCGCACATACACATACACACGCATGCACGTCGTCATATGAGCGAAATATTCTCAAGCACGACGTTAAACCCAATTTCACCTCACCTCACCATTGTATGGAAACGCGATAAACTTATTATTAACAAAATTATGTTCATTCTCATAGCATTTAGATTTCAAAGCTGCCACATTGCATAAGCTCCATTAACAAGATCATTCGGCTCTGATATTACGAGTCAGTTGAAATAATTCCGAGGTGACTACATATATTAACTCGCTCATTAATAAGTGATGGAGTGTGAAGTTTTCACATCATCGTCATAGCTGCAGCAACTGATTCTCTGTGCTGCTTTCTACAAAGGATTTTAAAATTGACCTGTCGCTGTATGGTGAGTCGTGGTGTTCCAGCAATACCACAGCAGAGTGCCGATCAACAAAGCATTCGTACCGTCACGACCTGTATGGTTTATCATAGGCTTACAGGGGCGGTGGGGTAGCCTAATGGTTAAAGCGTTGGCTCGTCACGCCGAAGACCCGGGTTCGAATCCCCACATGGGCACAATGTGTGAAGCCCATTTCTGGTGTCCCCCGCCGTGATGTTGCTGGAATATTGCTATAAGCGGCGTAAAACCAAACTCAGTCAGTCAGTATCATAGGCTTACGAATGTCGTAGCGCTACGATCGTTTTGTGGATCTGGACCCAGTACTACAGCAATACCACCTCGTTGAATTGAATTTTTCGTACTGTTGCATTGATTGATGTAGATTTACACATCTACAATCAATAATGAAGGCAGATGGAAAGATAACTGTGGATAAAAGGAGTTTTTAACATTTGTTGGAAACAAGTTTTGCCTTTTTGTTGAAGTTTCGTTTATACCCGGGGGAGACGTCGCTCTCTGATAACCATTTATGTATGTTCACTGGTTTGTTTTATCTCTGTGTTAATAATATGGAGTTTAGTTAAAACCTTTGATTCATACTCAAGCTTTCGTTAATCTTTCATGGAACCTTGTGCGTTTTGCTCCTGAGGGATATCGTTGTCATGGGTTTGGGGCATATTGAAACGAGTTCGGGTATATTGTTGTTTCCATACTGACACTCAAAATCTTCGCTCTTGTTCTTCATGACATGTACTTCAATGTCGAAGGTGCCATTCAACAATACATTCTTAGCGCTAAACGATTGCACCTCCCTTTCGTAATTTCGTAAATATAGACTACCAAAGTCATATGCATAACAGCACCCTAGTGGCACTTCATGGAGAGTAGATGGAAGTCCGTTAATACGTTCCTGCACAGTGTGCGAAATAGTTTCCATATTTTGCTAGCCAGTCGGGTCAGCTATGCCTGAAAGTTACTAGCCCACAAAATAATTCATTAGCCCGAAATTTGGATGTTAGCAAAAGATTACAAAAGGTAGAATACCATCATTTATCAGGCCATATTCTTGCATGATTTTAAAAGTGTATTATAACCTAACTAGTCGGCGGGTGTGTTCCCATGAAAATTCCTAGCCAGTCGGACCTGTGACTGTGGAAATTTACTGGCCCGACTGAATTTTTACTAGCCATGGGCTAGCGGGCCAGTGGCTATTTCGCACACTGTTCCTGCATATCACGAATTATGAGGAATGAGGACTACTTTTATGGATATACAACTTCTGTATTGTATACAGGCGAGGTTTCAACATCGATTCTATAATGTCGTCGTTAAGCAAGTGGTGAATTAGAAATTAGTTTAAACGCCCTCTACTAAGAAACACATTTATTAAAGAGGGTTGTAGCCTGTCGTCAGCAGTAGTTCTTCTTTTGTTTCAGTGTTGTTGACAAGTTACGTCATCTATTGTATTGCTATGTTTTAACATGTAGATAACGTCGTTGATTATAGCCCATTCTCACATTTATCTATTGACGCTTATGTGGCGGTGGGATAGCCTAGTGGTTAAAGCGTTCGCTCGTCACGCCTAAGACAGTGACTCGATTCCCCACATGAGTACAATGTGTGAAGGCCATTTCTGGTGTGCCCCGCTGTAATATTGCTGGAACATTGCTAAAAGCGGCATATATCTAAACTCACTCACTATTGACACTTACTGGGGCTTATAATACGAAACGACTGACCCAGTATTTTGATGTAGGTTTCACGTATTCTGTCCTACTTTTTATGGACCATTACGTTTGTATATTTCCTAACATTGTTTTGTAATTCTGCTTTCAGGTAGTAACTACTCATCAGACTAACCAAAATGACGAAGAAGCTCACAGTCCTTGTTTGTGGTGGAGGTAACGGCGCCCACGTGACAGCTGGTCTTGCTGCGTCACGTGATGACATAGAGACGAGGGTGCTCACAACGTTTGCTGACGAGGCAGAAAGATGGACGAACATCATGAAGGAAAATGATCTCAGAATTACCGTGGACGAAGGTGACATAAAAAGCGGAGACCCAGTAGACTTTAAAGTAAAACTCAATTGCATCACCAAAGATCCGTCGAAGGCTGTTCCGGGAGCAGATGTCATAATTTTCACTGTTCCGGCGTTTGCCCATCAAAGCTACCTCGAAGCCATTGAACCATACATTCAGCCGAACACCACCATTGTTGGGATGCCCGGTCAGCCAGGCTTTGAGTTCCAGGTGTTTGATGTGCTTAAGGACAAGGCCAAGCAGTGTGTCATCATGTCTTTTGAGTCTTTGCCTTGGGCGTGTAGGATCGCAGAGTTCGGCAAGTTTGTTCAGATTCTGATGGTAAAGGTAAATCTCATGGGATGCATAATTCGAGGTCAGAGCAAGCCTTCGTATGAGCCATTGGAAGCTGTTCAGAAGGTGATGGGAAAAGCACCTATTCTGACCCAGGCAAACAATTACATCGAGCCAATTCTGGCCACCAAGTCTATCATCCACCCTCCGATAATGTATGGCAAGTGGAAGGACTGGGATGGTAAACCACTCGACCAGAAGCCCCTGTTCTACCAAGGTCTTGACGAAGGTGAAGCTCGTTACCTTGGTGGTATTAGTGACGAACTAGTAGCCACCGCTAAAGCAATTGCGACTCAGAAACCGGAAGTGGACCTTTCCGGTGTCCTTCACCTTTATGACTGGTACCTTCGCGATCACAAACCGTACATCAAAGATACAACTAATCTCCTGACTGTCATGCAGACAGACACAGCATATGACGGTCTCGTCCATCCAATGAAGGAAACAGAAGATGGCAAATTTGTTCCAGATTTTCGCTACCGGTACTTGACAGAGGATGTCCCGAACGGCTTGGTGGTGACCAAAGGGCTCGCCCAGATCGCTGGTGTCCCCACCCCTTATCATGATGAGGTAATAACCTGGTGTCAGAAACAACTAGGCAAGGAGATCATTGTTGGTGATAAGCTGACGGGGAAAGATATAGGCAGTACGAGATGTCCACAACGTTATGGCATCAATACAATTGATGCCCTTGTTAGTATCATGTGAACAATGGCGCTATGGCGTTTTGAAACATAACTGGAGTCATACGTCATCCGTTTATGCAGAAACCCGAGGAATGTTTTTATGTAGTTACTATATTAATTAAAATTACTATTTTCCATTTCGTGTGGCTTCCCAGTAGGGATTTAAAAGCATATGTGTTATCTCCATGTGACATTACCTCAGGGACAAAAGGAGCGGGATGAAAAAATCACTTGTGATGCTGAATATGCTATACATTACTTCTGGGCGCTTGCAGCTAAGACGCGAATATTATAACTGGCATTGTGTTTCGAAATGGCACGTAAATCACTTAACTTAAGGTTGGCGAATCAGCTGTTCACACATGTACATTCCCTAGCGGTTAAACCCTTGCTACAGTTCGAGCATGAATTGGAAAGGTTAGATATCCCCCCGTTGGTTTTATCCCGCGTCATTCTATTTTAGGGTAGTTACTCGGATTTTAATTGTGGAGCTTCTCCCGAGTGTAGATTCCTTCCCAGATCCTTTTTAGTTAAAAAAATGATTTACATGAAGGTAGATCGACTGTTTGTGTTGTGATTTAACTACACTGTTAACAACCCACTTTTCCTATTGTTGATGATTTAATATGCACGATCTTGCCATGCGGAAGATAAAACTGACATATCGTGAGAACCGCAAAATGCCAACTTCTTCTGAACTCCATGCTATTTTGGTGTGGAATATGTTTAAAGATATCTCATGTTATTAGAAAGAAAGACATCTTCTTTATTATATTTAGAATACATTTTCTCTAGAAATTATTATCTTTGGAGAATTATATATGAATGTTTAATGTCTATTGCTTCGTCACAGGGATACAAATAATACATTTCCTCATTTCGTAATGGTGTATTGAGATTACTATATATAATGATCATGATATTGATAATATTAATAATGAAGAAGAATCGCCAACATGGACATTGGTTTAGTAATTAGTGTGTAATATTATTTTATGATTTAATTTATTTTATTTCTTGTTAAAGTTAGTATTTAAGTTAAATATAACGACTTTAATATTTTCATAAGTTTTATTTCTTATTGTGTAAGAACGATGTCAATCAGAAAATGTATTTATCGTGAATGTTTCGTTTGTTAAACACTTCTATTGAGATTGATCTGATGATGAAAGCAGATTCCGTTGACTAAGTACCGAATGCTGCAGATTTGAATACCACAAACTGCTTGGCACCGTAGTAACGTGACGGGAAAATAGCAGCGTGGGGCTTTACACAAGAAACGTTACAAAACAAGACAGCAGTGGTAAGGCATTAGGTAGACCTTACTTTCTGATGTGCAATTACTTACACATACCAAAGTTGTTACTATGCTCAAAGAATAATATTCCAACACGGCACTTCTGCCAAAGAATGCTCAATAAAAACCAAACCTACGTATTGACAGTACACTGGAACTGTAAGAGATAGCGTGTCGCTGTTTGTTACGTTTGTATGAGGACCGTGACACCACTCTGTGTCTTTCTGTTGTCTTCAGAATGTTGAGGCTATTAAATTGATTGCTTCTTCCAGACATGCATTTTGTTTCTTTTATGAGCTATGTTTGTTGTTTAACACCGCACTCAGCACCATTCCTACTATATGGCGACATTTTGTAAATAATCGAGCCTGGACCAGACAATCCAGTGACCAACATCATTATGTATGCACTGAAGTTCGTTTTCTTATATGAACCGCAGCCCATTATGTACGCAGGAATCTGATTTGTTTATTCCTTGTTTAACGCCGCATTCAGCAACATTCCAGTGTTGTTGTTTTTTAAACATTCGAGCCTGGACCAGACAATCCAATGTCCAATAAACATCGATCTTCGCAACTGGGTACAATGACATGTGTCAACCATGTCAGCAAGTCTGACCACCCGATCCCGCAAGTCGCCGCTTGACAAGCATGGGTTATATTACTGACGACCAATTTTAACAGATCCTCAGGGCAACTCCTGTAATTTGTATCTCTGATTGGAAAATACAATTATAATACAATTCAACTCGTTCATACAACTATGGTTAGTATCCCAAAATTTCTTTAATATGAACGATGTTTTTATTAAATGAAACGGTTTTGACTAGTATGTAATATTAAAATCTTGTGGAGTTTCGTAAGCTTGTGAGGAGTGAGTTTAGTTGAACGGCGTACTCAGCAATATTCCAGCTATATGGCGGCGGTCTGTAAATAATTGAGTCTGGACCAGACAATTCAGTTATCAACATCATGAGCATCAATCTGCGCAATTGGGGGATGCGATGACATGTGTCAACCAAGTCAGAAAGCCTGACCACCTGAACCCGTCAGTCAACGAGCCTGACCAATCGCCTCTTTCTACAAGCATGGGTTACTAAAAATCAATTCTAACCCGGATCTTCACGGGTTGTCAAACCTTTGAATCAATATAAGAGATATATGTTCTGTAATAAAAGAAATGTCACATCTCGCTGACTACGTTACAGCCATGAGAACAAGCCTGACCACCTGATCCCGTTAGTCGCCTCTTTCGACAAGCATGGGTTACTGAAGATCAATTCTAACCCGGATCTTCACGGGTCAAGCTTGTGAGGAAGATCGGGTGGTCTCGGTGCGTGGCTTGGTGGATATTGTGTCGCCGAATTATGTCAGAGTGGTTCATTCAACTCGGGTTCGATTCCCCACATGGGTACAGTATATGAACCCCATTCCTGGGGTTCCCCGCCGTGCTATTGCTGGATTATTGCGTAAAGTCTCACTCACTCACTCACTCACTCACTCACTCACTCACTCTTGCAGCAGACATAGTAGTAGAAACAAATGTTTCACAACCATTTACAGGTAAAACACTGGAATGTTTGACCGAAATATTGGTGACATGGAGATGATGCTTTCTCTATCCAAACTAAAGTACACGGAAATAGAAACATCTTTTCGGCGTTTATTACGTAGTTTTGAACACAACTAAAGTTTGATTGTTAAATATTCTCTGACTCGTTTTTCCCAACATTTGTTTTTAACCCTTTTTGTAAAATCGTCCGAAGTAGATGCGTTTACAGGAGAACAAATTGTGTCATTTTTACCCCTTGAAATTTCATCAAAGTCAAAATGATTTGTTTGAGTGGCATTCTAGAAGTTGGTGGTATAGATGTAAGAATTATACCGAAACGTCGCCATTGTTGAAATAAAGAAGTTGATCATCTATAACGTTTTGTCATCTCTAAAGTGAAAATGTACGTTTCTGGTGCAAGCTATAGTATGCAAATGAGATGTACTCTCCATAGGTTCAGGTACATTTATTTTAGGAAAAACGTCATATACCAATCATCATTTATTTTTTTTATCCTAATTGATATACAAAATGATTTATTTAGGGATTTTCGCAGTACGCGATATCATTTCTGAACACTTATCGGCAAACTATTTAAGCACATCCTCAATTTATAACTCGGACATCTCTAACTTTTCTGATGATTGAAGAAATGACGTGCAGAATTGAACAGTTAGAAATATTGATGTTAGATTTTGATAAGTAGTTTCTTACACATTTGAATTTTCATTTTGTTTTTTTTTAATTCTGACACTATATTTTCAAAGTATACTTAATGTACTATATACATGTGTATCTATCCTCCAAGCAGTTAGTCGGTTACAGCAGAGATACCAGTCATCATAGACTGAAATAAAAGATTTACCCATTATATTCTATCCCTTATTAAATGTGTACATCAGGCAGTGCGACATATATAGGAGTCACTATATATGTTAGTTTACTGATCCATTCCCAAAGTTTGATACCATTTCAGGGATCGATATGGTGCTGAATTTGCGTGCACGTTAAATATTAAAATGGCATTTTCATGGTTTCAATGTGCCCTGGCGGCACGACTAAAATTATTAAAATAATTCACACCATGATTCATCTAATGGAAAATTTGAACGACTTAAATGACTTCAGCGATTTTTGCTTTTCATCAAACTGAATACCTACGGCACGTTTTATCTTTAAACGTTTAAAATGCCAGTGAGCATAACAGGAAAGCCGTTTCGTATGATAACATAGTTTGTGGGATAGTTTATGGGTCCGGGGCAAATGAATATACATAATTTTGATGGTAACAAATCCCATTTTTATTGAAAATCAGACCCAGTAAGATAAGAGAATCAGCACCCGAGGAAATCTACACTTGCTTCAGCAGTGGTTTCAGCATTGCAGAAAGGGCTTGGCAGTAGAGAAAATATTGTGGCCCAGGGACTGTGAGAAATACTAGTTTACAGGCTTTCATGATGCTTACTGCCTTACAATAAATTGAAATGACATAATTGTTGTGATGTTTTAAGCGCAACTGGATCATCAAAAGGTATGGGTACGCTTATTTTCACAAAGGCATACCTAAATTATCTGTCTGTGCCCTGTGGCCCCCTAAACAAATTTGCATTTCTATCCCTGCATTGATAGGTCTTAAAATAAGTAGCAAATAGCCCATTGTTTTAGTTTGTAATAATTAAATAAGCAGGTCGTGGAGTTATTATTTCCATCAATGTCGAAAATGGCGAAGGGGTTATTTCTCAAAAGAGATGCCGAGCGTAAAAACGAATAAGGCCAAAGGGAGATAATTAGGCATGCTTTATTTTACGACGCTTCTTTCGTGGAGACTCGTAGGACGCTGGCTACAAAAACGAGGCAGATGTGTGTGGATGCTGCTATTCTTTGAACTCTCTTAGCCGTGAGTGAGTATGGACGCGCACACACGAGCAGGGAGACTCGAGAAAACACAGGCGCTAGAGCTTCGCTGCAGCGAAATACCACGCCGACAGCGAGAAACCCCCAGACAGGTGCGAGTGTGTGCGTCAGACACAACTGGGGACCTCTGCGCCTCAACAGGAAGATTAATCTTCGTCTACCTGCAACATTTTCCTTCCCGGTACAACAAACGATGTCCACGCTGGTTAACCCGCTCTGAGGCTGCTGGAAGCCGCGCGCGGCTGTCGCCGATGTGTAATTTCGGATCTATGAGTAGATTTCGGATCCGAGACGAACTGCCGCTCCATTGTCAGAATTATGTACAATTTACGGATTGCGAACGGGCTTGCCGAGATACACTGTTTAATTTATCTTGCTCACGGGAGCGAGCGCGTTCCGGGACATAGTTGTGTTTGTGACGAACGTATGCAACAAGTCGCAGTGATAGTGTAGCAAAATGATCATAAGATCCGAAGTTCTAGCTAACAGCGCACGCAAACATGTAAGATCCGAATTTAACAAGCAATCCGAAAACTGACCCACAACCAGAAGTTGCTGTGCGCTGAAACGAATTGTCCCTCTGCATATAGATAGCGTCAGACCTACTTCAATGCTTGAGCCAAGCCAACACAGCTGTTGTGCAATGTGGAAAACTGAATTTCTTTTAATTCAGTGTATTGCGGACTTGTCATCTTTAACACCTGCCACAGTATACTCGTGTAATCAAATGCAGAATTTGCTACTGCGCTATCTCATGCTACTACATAGGAGGTATTTTAAAACAAATTTCACATATGGTGTCCTGGTGGTTGCCTCTTGTGGCTATTTTTGCCTCTGATGTAGCTACCTGATAACTCCTAGTGGCACATTCTGTTACATTTGATATCATGAGTATGGTAGGCAGTCAGGTGTTAAAAAAACCAACACAGAATACATTATCTGTCAACACACTTATGTCAAACACTGGACTGTATCACTCAGAGCATGAAGAATATGTTCCTTCCATGATACAAGGAGGCATTCATAAGTGCCTGTCAGGACTTTTGGTGTGAAGCGGCCAGTGATTGAACCAAGAACCCAGTGATTGAACCAAGCACCAGTCAGGGCAATGTAGCGGCCATAAAATGTGTCCCTTGATAGGATTCGAGCCATGACATTCTGATCCGAAGTCGGAAACCTTGTCCACATGACCCAAGAACTTTTCCTACAAGCTGACAAGGTAGGATGGTATGTCAGGTACCATCAGTTTATATAAGGTCATTTGGTATGAAGTCAGGGTTAACCAGTGAACTCTCTGTGAACGTTGTATCAAGCGTTAGGGGGAACCTAAAGGTTAAAGGGTTCGCTGGTCACACTGAAGACCTCTGAAGACCAAGGTTCGAATCTCCACATGGGTACAGTTAGACTAGGGTACAGTGTGTGAAGCCTATTTCTGGTGTCCCTGTGGTGATATTGCTGGAATGTCGCTAAAAGCTGCATATAACCTCTCACTCACTCACTCACTCATTAGAATCAATATGACCGTATATGTTCTGTAATAAAATAGATATCAATCTCATTGACTCCATGACAGTAATGACAGGATGGGAGGCCAAGTTAATTGTTTTGATCATCATGATCAAATTTAGGGCTTGAAATCATCTGCAGCTGGTTCTTCAACAGAGTTGTCAAACTGATTGAAGTACTGTAAAATATCTCTTATTCACTCCGTTCATCAGATAAGTGGTGTTGACAGTTTTACTTTTTCTTTTCCGAAACCAGTTAAAAATGTTTATTATTCTTGCCATATAAATAACATATTGATTG